GGTGGAAACTGGAGGTTTTCTCATAGACACAGAGAAAAGATTGGTGGTTGTGAGAGGCTGCGAGTTTGATGGAAGAATAGGTCAAGGTGGTCCAATGATCAAGCTTCTCATTATAAGATAAATACGTTTTGAGGATATAATATCCAACATGGTGACTACGGTTAGCAATACTGGGTTGTACATTTGAAAGTTGCTAAAAGTGAAAATCCTTAAAGTAGGATTTATTTTGCTCACAGTGTTTGGTGTGAACATAAGTTGCATTTCTGAGACAAATGCCTGTGTGTATAAATGTGGTCATATAATACACGTGATTTCTGGAAACATGTAAGGAAATTGTGTCTTTTGTTGTAAGGTGGCACAAACCACTTCTAAGGACCACACTAGACTGTGAGCTTGGGTGGAATTTTACCAGTTCCATCAGTAAGTGGTTGGAATAGAGAGTCATGCAGGAGAGGACCTGGTTCCATCGGAACACTGACCAGGCTCTGGTGAGCCCTCTTCCTTCCTCCAATGAGTAGCTCTTGATGAGGCTGAAGGAGATGAGGCCGTAAGGCAGCAACATCTTAGGGTCCTGTGCTGGGAATTTGGCACACAGCCCACACCGCCCACCCTTCTTGTCCTGGGTCCTCAAGTGGGGCCTCATCATGAAGACCTCAGATGGGCTGAGGGGCCAGTGGAGAACAGAGGCCCCAGGCAGTGGGACAGGGGTGGGGCACTACTCCCTGGAGACATGTCCAAGTCCCTCTGAAAACTAAAATGAGTAACTGCTCACCCGGTGGTTGTTTCCCTGACTGTAATTATTTCACAATCAGAAACTATTTGGAATTTACAGGCTGGCTACTGTGTCACACCCTTGTCACCCCTTCCCAGGCACTTCCTCTTATATCACATAGCTGGAGCCTCACTCCTCTCACAGAGCAGAGTCCGGGTTCCCAGGGCACACACTTGGACACAGCAGGCCACTCAGACCTCCAGGATGGCCTTCCCTGCCTCCTGGCCCCGCCCTCCTCCCTGCCTGCTGCTGACTCTCCTGCTGGGCCTCCCAGGTGAGCACTCCTTGGGGTAGAATATTCCCTCCCTGCCCCTGGGCTTCTTTTCCCCCTGAAATGTCAGGGCCTCCAGGGAAACATGGGTGTGTCACCCAGGGCTGCACAGAAGGCCAAGGTCAGGGCTTCATCTGAGCGCATAAGTCAGGGATCTGAGTGGGACCATCGCCTGCACTGTTACCAGAGGCAGCAAAACAGATGATGCTTCAAGTCTTAGGTGATTCCAAGGAGGTAATTCTTAAAATGCCTTTGAACCTAGCAGGGAAGATAGTCTTTGAAAGACTAATAGGAGAGTTTGATATATTTCACCAAAGTCAGAAGGCAGAGTCACCCTGTAAACTAACCAATATTGGCCTCCCCTGGAACATCCATAGCAGATAGAAATACATGAGTCTCGGATGTGAGGGCGATCTGGCTGTGACATCTGTCACCCCAATGATCGCCAGGGTTGATTCACCTGATCTGGCTGGCGAGGCGGGTGTCCCCCTCCTCCCTCACCGATCCATGTGCGTCCCTCCCGAAGCTGCGCGCTCTGTCGAAGAGGAAGACTTTCCCCCAAGAGGAGAGGACCGGTCTTCAGTCAAGGGTATACGAGTAGCTGCACTCCCAAGCTAGAACCTCCAAACAAGCTCTCAAGAAATACACAAGTCTCTACATTATCCAACATAATTACAAATAAGGCACCTCATGAATTTTAATTTGCAATGCGTACTTATAGAATTCTTTTGTCTGTCCTTTAAGCCACTCACCTCTGACTCTATAAAATGTTAACTGAACTCCCATTTTTTAGAGAAAAAAAAACAAAAACGGGTAGGGGAATCCAGAAAGATCTGTGTGGCCGGAGAGGACAAGAGAGCCCTGCATGACGACAGGACAAAGGCCACTGACAGCCCCTCCTTAACAAGCACACAGAGCAAGCAGGATTTCTGTGAAATATTCCTCCTTTTCCCTGTAAATTGCTAAACATGGGGTCCCCTGAAACCAACTGCTGCTAGGTACATCTCCGGAAAAACACTTGCAGATCAGGGGCGAGGGGTCACCTACACTGTCCTGGGAGGCAGAGAGCATGTGTGTCTTGCCATGACCCGTGGTGACAGCACTGATCCCCAGCCCTGCAGGTGTTCCAGCACCAAGGCTCCGCTTGGGTTGCTGAAGATCAGCAGGGACTCTCCCTGGAGAAAGGACCTGGTGAGCCACACCAAGGAGAGAAAGAAAGGATCTTCCCCTGGGCTGGGCTGTGATTGACCCTGGCTGTGGGCTCTTCCCATGGGCTGGGCAGCGATTGGCCCTGGAGCAGGCACGTCCCCTGGGCTGGGCAGTGATTGGCCCTGGGTGCGGGAAATGCACTCCTCCCTGACAAATCTGAGACTTGAGAGGAGAAGCAGCCTGTCCAACTCTTGGCTGCATTTGGGGAAGATGTGAAGCTGACAGTTACAGCAGCAGCTCTCCTGACCTCTCCTGACCATGACACAGGCCTGAGGCCAAATCAATGAGGCTGAGGCCAGACCCTGTCCTTAAGGACACCTCTGAGCTGGGTGCTGGGGGACCATTAATGCCCTTGGTTACTCACCTCACCTGTTTGCACACTTACCTCTGGCCCAAGCATCCTAACTGATATCAGCCTCGCAGCAGAGCACTTTAGAGCCAGTGAACGTTATGCCACAAGATTATTTATTAACACCGGATGTGCAGCTCAGAGAAAAGAATTACAGAATAGCATGTTTCCATTTGATTAAAGAGTGGGCTCATTTTCCAAGGGAAATGTTTTAGAAATAGGTATCTCTGATGTAGTTGTGTCTGGAAGACAACAACTTAAATGTTTCCTTATGGCATCCTTTCATTTTCCCTTTGTCTCTACAGCAAGCATGTACAGCCCTGCCTCAGAGATATTGTGGGCTCAGTTCCAGACTTCTGTGATAAAATGTGTCATAATTTTTTTGCTGGTGGAAGGTCTTTTTAAAATTTTATCTTTATTATTGAAAGTATTACAGATGTCCCCTTTGTGTGTGTGTGTTTTCCCCATTGATCCCCTTCACCCGTGCCCACCCCTCCCAGACCTTCACCACTCTATTGCCTGTGTCCATGGTTATGCACAATGCAAACAGGTTCCTTGGTGAATCATTCCCCTCCCATCTTCCCTCACCCCCTCATTCTCTGGTGGAGGGTCTTCTTGCTTTCCATTTGTAAAACCCCCAACACCTGTGAAAGTGCAAATAAAGTGAAGTGCAATAAAGCAAAATGAAACAAAATGAGCTACGCCTGTATCAGCTAAGACTCCGCCACGCTGTTCCGTTTCTCTGTCACTTCAGAGTGATTCCAGGGAGGAGGAAATGTAAGCATGTATTCTACTAAGCTTTCTTGAACTACTATAGCTTTTTTACTGGGAAAAGTTGTGTTTTCCTTTTTCAAGTTGTTTTATGAAATGAAATTGAAAATTGAATAGTAATAGGCATTTATTTTTTAGAGAGCACAGAATATTACAAACAGTTTCATTTCCCTTTCTTACTTGTATCATATAATGACTTTTTAGCATTTCCCATCAGAACGTCTTCTGTGAAGAAAAACAACTCCAAAATGAAGGATGATCAGGGCTCAGGAGCAGCAGGTGATGCTAAGTCCTGTGGGGAAGGACAGGACCTGCCTCTGGGGGTGCAGGGTCATCTGGAAGTGAAGCATCCTGATGTCTGGATGCAGCAGGTTTCCTAGAAGCTACTGCCCAGATGGTGCTCATCTGTTTGGCTCTTTTCACACACCCATTCTTTCCTCCTTCTCCATCCAGAAACAAGCATGTTTCTTTACAAGCCTCGCCATCTGCAGTTTTAATGGGGACATACCCCATTCAAGCCATTGAGATTCACTCCCTAGTCCAGCACCTGTGGCTTCTCTGAGTTTTCTTTCAGGGCCCGAGACCCAGAGAACATAGGCAGCCGAGTCCATTCGTCCTTAAAGCTTCTGAATGCTTCCTGTTCTTTGTTGGAAACTTTTCATTCCTACTCAGGAAGCATTCTGAAGCTGAGCCATGACCTGCTTCAATTCCAACATGTAGCTCAGGTTCAGTAGCAAGTACCACCCAGTCCCTTTAACGAGAGACGTTAAAGAGGAATCTGGGTAAGTTTTCAGTGAGTCTTTTGCAAGCAATGGTTTCCCTTTGCAGTTCTCTGCAAATGAATGTTATTCCAAGGGATGTGCTATTTCTCTGCACCAACTTCCTCATCATCAGATGACCAGCCATGGTTGCCAGAGACAAACTGGCTGATGCTCTCCTCTCCTCAGGCTGGATGGACTGTACCTCCAGGAACCAATCCGCTCAGCTGGGCAGCCACATGTTGCAGGCAAAAGCCCAGCACAGCCCCTCCATTATATACACCAAGCGGAAGAGGTTGATGGGGGTGTGGGGGGGAAATTAAACCCAATCTCTGTTACCTCTTTGTGACTCAGTTTCTTCTCTTGTTATAGGCTCTCACATTACAGGTTGGTTGTGAGGGTTACTGATAGATTAAATAGGGAAGGTAGCCGGAGAACGGGATGACAGGACACACACAGGCTTTATTGGAGGGAAGAGTACACCTGCCAGCTGCTCCACAGAGAGAAGCAGAACAGAGTGAGCACCGGGGTACAAACACCTTTAAGGATAGGGGATGGGCTTAGGGCACTCAGCACATGCTGATTGGTGATTAGGGAACCTAGGGACTTAGGAATCTGGGGCTTAGGGTATTTGGCAGGTGCTGATTGGTGGTTCAGAGCTCAGGAATCTCTGGCCACAGGTGGGGTTTACGTCTGTCCATCAACTGAAGGGAGGATGTATCAGTTACATGTATGACACATGCAATATGTTGGACTCAAGGCCCACTCAAGAATTTGCCCTCGGTCGATGAAAGCTGTTGTTGATAAATACTGACCAAGCGCACAGGCTTCCATATGCTGAGTAAATAACTGCTCTGTGCTTCCCTCCAGGAGGGGCAGTTGAGGAGCTGCAGGTGATTCAGCCTCAGAAGTCAGTGTCCGTCGCAGCAGGAGAGACGGCCACTCTGAGCTGCACCGTGACATCCCTGACCCCCGTGGGGCCCATCAAGTGGTTCAGAGGGACAGGGCCTGGCCGGGAGTTAATCTATGATTTCAGAGGAGGCCTCTTCCCCCGAGTAATAAGTGCTGCACACTTCACGAGGAGAAACAACACAGACTTTTCCATCCGCATCAGTAACATCACCCCAGCAGACACAGGGACCTACTACTGTGTGAAGTTCCGGAAAGAAGCCGGTGATGACAAGGAGTTCAAGTCAGGAGCAGGCACTCAGCTCAGCGTGAGTGGTGAGTACAGGGGGATCCTTTGTGCCTCATGTGTGACAACAAGTCAGTAAGAAGGACTTCCATCTTTGAGCAGCAACTAGGAGCCAGGTGGGGAGGTGGGTGCTTATAGATATGGTCTGATTCCTGGTCTGACTTCACACACACACCACCACCACCACCACCACCGACACCACCCCCACCCCGGCCTCCACCCCCAGGTCAGAAGGCCATGGAAGCTGAGTCCTAGAGATGTCATGCTATTTGCTCAGCCACCGCGGCTGGTCAGTGGTGGGAAAAGTCTGGAACCCCCACTTGTCTGGCTCTCCAGCCCTGGCCTTTCAATCCTGTCAGCCCCTTGGTGGCTGAGAAACTGATGGTCTGAGTGACTTGCCCATCACAAGGCCAGACCTCATCCACCTCCAGAGAGTGCTCCCCTTAGTGTGGCCTAGGCTCCTCCTTAGTGATATCCACTAGGCACCTGCTATGAGCCAGGCTCTGAGCTGTGCGCTGAGGCAGCTGCAGAACAAAGCAGGCAATGGCTCTTCCCCTTGAAGCTTTGTTCTCTCCCTGCAGTGGAAGGAACTCACTAGGGCAGGGAGTAGAGAAGGTGCTGCTTTCTCTCACCCTCAGAAACATCCCAGGAGAAGGAAATCCTGAGAGGCCCAGACTCCTGTTGACTCTGACAGCCCCGCTGGGAGGAGATGCCCAGAAGGGGGGGATCACCGTGGGTCTACCAGGGAAACCCCCTTTATTCCAGAATCCCAAGAAGGCTCCAGCAGAGTTGGGTCGTCTCAGAATGTCCCTCACCCATGGAAGAGGCTCCCCATGTGGGAGACTTAGGGGTCGCCCCATTGAGGCAACGCCGTCCTCATTCAGGGTGTTTTACCAGAGGCCCAGGATCCGTAATCTTGGACTGTGAGCACACAGGGACCTTTAGACCCTCCAGCCTGACTCCCCAAGTACAGAGGGGACCTTGAGGCCAAAAAGTGAAGGGGACTCTGTACAAAGTCACATGGCCAGTGAGTGAGAGGTTTTTCTAGAACCCCATCTGATTTTAGCAGCTTCTTCCTGCTTCAAAGCCAGATGCTCTTCCCATCAAAGCCTGGTGAATGCAACCACAGAATAAAGCTCATTCCAGCACACCACTGAACAGGGAGCCAGCACCTCTTACGTTCACTGGTACCCAAACCTTCACATTCCCCTCACACTCAGACTTTGTTGCCCAGGTGATTGGGACCCTCCCCGAACCTCCAGCCAAATCCCCACAAATCGAGCATCCACACCAGCACCTAGAGCTGCCCCTCCTCCACCAGCTGCCTCCCCTCCAGCCTGTGGAGACAGCACCGTTCACTCACTGTCTCCTGTTGATGGGTGTGAGTTGTTCCCAGCCTTGGGCTCTTCACATAGTGGTACAGGATACCCCTGTCCATACTTTAGAGCACATGTGTCAAACACAAGGCCCGCGGGCCAAATCCGTCCCGCCAGGCCTTGCAATGTGGCCCGCACCGTGCTGTCATCACTGCACTCCGCTGCGTTTCCATCACAATGACAGTTTACGAATGTTCAGTAAACCATTCGGCCCGCGATTTAGGCTGGATTTTAGATTTTGGCCCCTTCTCTGATTGAGTTCGACACCCCTACTTTAGAGGAAGGTGCCCACAGGAAGTGGTATTGCTAGGTCACAGGGTGTTTGTATTTTAATTTTGAGGGTTATCACCAAGTTTCCATCCTAGACATGGTGGCAACAGGTTCTCCCCACAGTTTCTGGACACAGGTAGAGAAGGTGGCTTTATCCCAAATTTTCAGGTATTACCACACTTCCCAGTAGTGTGCCATTGCCTAGGCATCACAGGTGTCAGTGGCTCCATCGCCACTCAGATCTGCTGCCTCCTGGGAGAGAGCTCTGCCCCTTCCCTGAGCTACTTGCCCAGGTGACACCTGCCTGAGAATGCAGATGGGAGAGGTCAGGGCCTCTGCTCTCTGCAACACCCACTGTGCTTGTCAAAGTGTAGAGAACGCTCCAACTCTTTTGTTTGGTTTGTTTTTAAGTTCTGTTTTGTTGGTTTTTAAATAATATGTTTTTATTGATTTCAGAGAAGAAGGGGGTGAGGTTGAGACAAAACATCCATGATGAGAGAGAATTATTCATCAGTTGCCTCCTGCATGCCCCCTACTGGAGATGGAGCCCATATCCCAGGCATGTACACTGACCCTGAATCACAGTGATCTCCTGATTCATGTGTTGATGCTCAACTACTTAGGCACACTGGCCAGGCTCCTATCCATTTCTTAGAGTCATGTATTTTATGTTTTTCAACAAAAACACACTTTTTAAAAAGTCTTGTGGAGGAGGCAGATCTAGCTTTTCAATTGAGATGAGACAGATCTTCAAATGTCCCATGACATGGCCTGAAACTATTCCTGCAGGACATGGCTCTGCCTTTCCCTTCTTTATGGAGTTTTCCTCACTGAGCAGCTGCAGGAAAAGCCACAGGAGTTGCCTGGCACAGTGGCCTGGATGGAGCAGAGAGGGGTCGCTGAGCCCCAACACCGCCGTGGGCAGCATCCTGTCTCTGCAGACTGAGGGAGAGGAGGGGCATTTCCTAGAGGGCCCTGTGCCCAGTGAGCAGGAGTTCATATTCTAGACTCACTGCCAGGAGCCCCTTCCCCCATTTATTGCCACAGTCCCCCCGCCCCTGGGCCCGGGCACTGAGGGCACTCCTCCCTGGAGCAGCTGGAGGTCAGGGTCAGGCTCCTGAGGGTGGGCACTTGCTCTGCTGGTGGACGTGAACACCTGGGAGGCCACAGGGAATACCTCTGGGGCACAGTAGTGGCCAAAGGGACAGTCCCTTCATTCTCTCAGTGTTAGTTTTCTCATCTCTAAAATGGCAATATTCATGGACCCCTTTTAGGAGAGTGGGAAGGATTGGAGGAGCTCTGTCTGAATCACCCAGCACAGAGGTGCAGCCCCAAACCAAGGTGTTTTGTCAGTGTCATGACCCAGTTAACGTGGCTGGGCCTCAGCTCCTCACCTGCAGAAACTGTGCAGAATAACATAATAAACCCACTGATTAATCAAATATTGATGACATAATCCAATCTGCCTTTATAGAATGTCTTAGGTGAGCCTGTTGAAAGGACAGACCCTCACTGAGCCACGGCAGTGTAAATCCCACAGCTGTGTGCTCTGGCAAGTCTCTATGTCCCCCACGTCCTCTGTTTCTCCACTTGATGAGGATAATAATCATGGCTCCCATTCACCTGACTGTAAGGATTGGAAGCCAGTTGTGAACAGCCAGGGCACAAAAATAAGACTGACCAGGAACTCTGTCTCTGAGCCCAGACTGTGGGAAATCATCTGGAAGGGAAAAGGAGGACTTTGAACAAAGGCCTAGAATTGCTTGTCGGCCCTGCCCCTCCCTCAGATTTCACCTCTGGGAATGAGTGTTCTCCTTTGTAAGATGAGGATAATGACATGCTCTCCCAGCAGGAATACAGGATAAAAAATAGTGAATGACAAAAATAAACACACACACACACACAAAAAACAGTATAGGAGAAGGTTTGACAGTGTCACATATTTGTTGTTAGTGGTGAGAGTCACAATCATGCTCATTGTTCATGATGTTCCTTTTACAGCCAAACCCTCTCCCCCTGTGGTATCGGGCCCCACGGGCAGGTCGCCGCCTGGGCAGACAGTGAGCTTCACCTGCAAGTCCCACGGCTTCTCCCCAAGAAACATCCTCCTGAAGTGGTTCAAGGATAGGAACGAGCTGCCAGCCTCCCAGACCATCGTGGACCCAGAGGGAGACAGCCCTTCCTACAGTATCTCCAGCACAGCCAGGGTGCTGCTGGCCCCGAGGGATGTTCGCTCCCAGGTCATCTGCCAGGTGGCCCATGACACCCTAAAGGGGGACCCTCCTCTTCGTGGGACTGCCAACCTCTCTGAGGCCATCCGAGGTAGATGCCCTCACTCCCAGCCCAAGCCCACACCTGGCCCCTGGCCACTTTCCCCAAGCCTACTTCTCCCCCTGCACTGTGCTCCAAGCTTGGAATTGCCTGGAATCTAATTCCTGACAATCCTTCCCATTATCATTCACATGGATTTGCCCATCACTCACCCGGTCTACTGGCAGCTTGCAGGTGAAAAATCTATAACATGATGGAGAAGAAAAAATCAACAATATACCAACCCATGCTTCATAGTTTTATCTATTTTACCAATAGGAACTCCACTTACTGAGCGCCTACTATAAGCCAAGCTTTTATGTGCTTGGTAATTTCATTTATTTTGCTGAAATTAGTGTGTTCTGACTGCATGCCAGGGGCTGTGGTGGTTGATTCCAATCATATGGCCCTAACAGCAGCTGCCAGTAAGACGAAAACCTCAAAAACAAGACAAAAAGCAGGACACCGCCTCCACCCCTCCCCAGAGACAAGGGGTGGGGCTCCGGTGTGGAGGTGCAGGTGCTCAGTGGTTTCATTCACATTAAAGAACCTCTGTGTGTGAGCCCCGTGCTCTGCTTGGTGGGGAATAAGTTCTGGAGCCCCCTCCGGGATGATCTCTGTCCCACGAGGTCAGAGCTGTGCCCTGTGCTGTTGCAGTGCCGCCCACCTTGGAGGTCACCCAGCACACGGTGTCAGAGACCCAGATGAATGCCATCACCTGCCTGGTGAGGAACTTCTACCCCCAGCGCCTGCAGCTGACCTGGCTGGAGAACGGAAACATGTCCCGAACAGAAACAGCCTTGAGCCTCGTAGAGAACCAGGACCGGACCTTCACCAGGATGAGCTGGCTCCTGGTGAACCTGTCTGCCCACAAGGAGGGTGCGAAGCTCACCTGCCAGGTGGAGCACGATGGGCAGCCGGCGATCACCGAATTCGTCACCCTCATGGCCTCTGCTCACCAGGACAAAGACAAAGGTAAAATCCAGAGAAAAGCTGCCACTCCTACTGATTGAGCTCTGTTTAAATTTTATCTTTAATTTTAATGTTAGAAGTACTAATTCATGCTTATTATAGGACTAGAGGCCCGATGCACAAAATCCATGTATGGGTCGGGTCCCTAGGCCTGGCCAGCAATCAGGACCAATCTGTGGGGTGACCAGCAGAGTGATTGGAGGACACCTGCTGGACCCACCTTGGCTGGCCTAGGGCCTGCAGGCTGGTGGCAGCTCCTATGTTGAGCACTTGCCCCCTGGTGGTCAATGCCCATCATAGCAACTGGTCATTCCACCTTTCAGTTGATTTTCATAGGACCCGATGCACAAAATTCATGCACTGTGCAGATGGGGTGTCCCTCAGCCCAGCATTCACCCTCTCCAATCTGGGACCACTTGGGGGATGTCCAACTGCCAGTCCAATAGCCCTTTCACAATCTGGGACTGCTGGCTCCCAACAGTTCACCTGCCTGCCAGACTGACTGATCACCCCCAAACCACTCCCCTGCCAGCCTGATTGACTTCTAACTGCTCTGCTGCTGGCCTGATCGCCCCCAACTGCTCTCCCCTGCCAACCTGGTCGCCCCTAACTGCACCCTGTGCAGGCCTGGACCCCCCCCCAACTGCCCTCCCCTACCAGCTTAGTCACCCCCAACTGCCCTCCCCTGCAGGCCTGGTCAATCCTAACTGCCCTCCCCTGCTGGCCTGGTTGCCCCTAATTGCACCCTCATGCAGGCCTGTCCCCCCCTCCCCTGCAACTACCCTCCCCTACCAACTTGGTTGCCCCTAACTGCCCTCCCCTGGTCATCCCTAACCACATTCCCATGCAGGCCTACTTCCTCCCTCCCCCCAAAATGCCCTCTGCTACCAGCCTAGTCACCCCCAAATGCCCTCCCTTGCTGACCTGGTCCCTCCCAACTGTCCTCCCCTGCTGGCTTGGTCACCCCTAATTGCCCTCCCCGAAAGGTCTGCTTGCCCCCAAATGTCCTCCTCTGCTGGCCTGGTCCAATGGGCTTGGTGTAAGGATGCAGGTCATCTGGTAATTCTTATGATACCAATGTGTTTTACACTATTTCTAGGTTAACTGTCCTCTCTCTGTCAGTTTAGCATAATCCATGAATGTGGACAGAACTTTGGGATTATTGACTGGTTTTGAAAGTGGAAGAATAGTTCTCATTCCTCACATTCTTTGGTTCTCTTTGTCTTTCTAGACCCTAAATTTTCCCTCCCTTTTTCTTATTTCTCTTTGCCACTCAATTGTAAAATAGCACAGTTTTTTCTTTGTTTGTTTCCTTGATTCTTTGTTTTGCGTTCACTACCCCAGAGTTACGTACTTTAAGTCAGGCCTGTCCCTTTAGTTACATCTGTCCTTTATAAATGTTCCCCTATCCTTGCACTATAGATACCTATCGCTACTGTAACCACGTGTTTAGTGACTTAACACAAGAAAAGTTTGTTACCTTACAGTTCTAGAGGTCAGAAGTCTACACTGAAATGGGCAGGCTGTGTCTCTTCTGGATTCTCTGGGGGTAGTCTCTCTGAGGATGACTCCTATGATACCTCAAATACATAGCATACAGTATTTGTCATTTTGTGACTAACCTATGTCATTTAGCACAATGTCCTCAAGTTAGATCCATGTCATAGTCTGTGAACAGAATTCAAAATTGGAAAAGATATAAAAGAGTACAATGACTTTGTTCCCATTCATTCTTCCATCCATGCATCCATCTGTCCATCCATGCATGCCTTCACACTCTCATTCATCATGCATTTACCTATGCAGGCATCTGCTAACCACTATCTAAATCCTCCTCTGTGATTGGCCCAGGGAAGATGAAGCATCCTCAAGGAGTTCCCAGGATACCACAGTGGACTTCCCACAGGGATTGTCTGCTGTCTCTGGGAGTGTCAATTCCAACTGCAGTGACAGTGCCTCAGTCTTCACTGTCCTTGGTGGCCATTGCCTGCCATGTGCAGAGATTCCAAACATAGAATGTGCATCCACCTGGCTGAAGCACTGCCATGTTAAAGGGAGCTGAGCATGAGCCTGGAAAGCTTGCAGTTGGTGAATGTGTCCCTGCAGAGGTTGAGCAGGTGTTCACCTGTTTGGTGCAGCATGAAGCACATCCTCCCATCTGGCCAACCTCTTCCTGTCCCCAGCAACCCCGGCATCTACAAGCTCATTGGGGGTGCATCCCAGTCACCTCCATCCACTCTTGGGAAAAGCTGGGTTACCTCTGTCTCCTGAGAGGACAAAGGTATTTAAACACACAGAACCCCAGTTGATGTCTCCTTCTGCCCATGTAGGTCCAGGGACATCTGCTGTTATCTTTGTGACTTTCCTCCTGGGCTTCAAGGTGCTGCTCGTGATGAGTTTTATAGTCACCTACATCCACAGGTGGAGGAACCTGTAGCTGGTGAGTTGGAGGCAGCCCTACGTTTTGAGGGAGGAATGTCAGGGCCAACCTCCTGGGCTGGCAAGAGGAGTCGAGGGTGTGCCCACATGGTCACATGGTCACCACCGCCTGACTTAGCCTCAAAAGAAAGTTCCAAATGCTCTTTTTTCTCAGAAGCTTCCACCTCTTACACACTGTGTGGTGCCCTGGGGTTTCAAGGTTTTCTAATTAAATTATAAGTGATCCAAGGTGGGATGGATATCAAAGTTTCAAGACCAAAACTGCAAATAGTTCCCAAGGAACTGTTATATATTTCAGTTTTCATATGATATATCTTTGGAAAGAATAAGGAAGTATTGCCCAAGTCAGCTACTAGAACCCATCTGACAGACTAGTGGTGAAGATGAATGTGGGAATGGAAGAGAGTTCATATCTCAGAAGGAGGTGTTGGGGTCTGGTGAGTATGGGCTTCATTTCCTATCTGTGCCATGAAGCCAAACAGAGTGCCTGCCACTTAGCATGTGCTCAGTAAATATTTGTGGAATTAATACAGGAATGAATGAATGATCCTTTTGCTTCCATGAATCAATGAATGATTTTTCCTACAGCTCTTCTCTGCCACGCAATGTATTGCCTTCTGCCCTCTCTAATGAGCTTAGGAAGGGAAAAGCTGCACCGACCTGCAGATTATCCAAGGCCCCTGCCCTTCACTCTGTGAAACCCACCTCCACCAGAATATGCTCCTTCCCACACCCTCCTGATGTTGCTTATCTCTGATACTAAGACTGAGGCAGGGATGGATGGCCTTTGCTCACAGAGACTCAGGGATGTCTGGACCTTGATGCCCTTCCTCCACCCAAACCAGAACCGGGAACATAAAGAAACCAGGCTTCACCTCCCCTGATCATATATATTGATACACTATATATATATTTATATTTATATTTATATTTATATTTATATTTATATTTATATTTATTTTTTTTTTTTTTTAACCTTTCAGGACAAAGCAGCAAGTCTCCTCACAGACCTCCAGGGTCACAAGACCGAGCCATATCAGACTGATTATTAAAGGCACAGGCAGGTCCAAAAACAGACAAGTGAAATCCACCTATCTTCTAAAATTGATTTGGATGAGTTCTTTAAACATGTTAAGCCATTTCTACTTCTTTGAAATATAATCTCTTTTAAGCTTTTAAGGGAGAAAAAGACAGTCCTTTATCCTATCTCATAAAAGAGTAATATGCAAATTAACCATCACTCCACAACAAAAATGGTAGTGCCCATAGACACAAGATGGCGGCACCCAATCCTCTCAGGTGGACGGGGTACCCCCAGTCCCAGGGAGGACTACCGATGAGAGCCAGCAGCGTGTGGCCCAGGCTGTAGACCCGAGAGGCAGCCACACCCCTTGGTGCAATCCATTACTAGCCTCGGCCCATGCACCTCCCCCCCCTTCCCCACACGATCTGCTCCTGGCTGCAGCCCTGGGAAATTGGCCTGGGAGGCCCCATCCCCCCTGATCTGCTTCGAGCCCCTGCCTGGGCCATGGGCCTGGGAGGTGGCCGTGTCCCCTGGTGCGATGCGCTATCAGCCATAGCCTGGGCCGTAGGCCTCCCAGCTGGAAGGCACCTGTGCCCCTCTCAGCACGTTCCACTTCCAGCCACAGCCAGGGCTGTGGGCCTGGGAGGTAGTCGTGCCTCCCTGGCATGATCTGCTCCCTGCACAGCCAGAGTGGGGGAGAGGAGAGTGTAGGCCTAGGAGGCAGCCGCGCCCCCCAGAGCGATCCCCTCCCAGTGGCAGCCTGGGGTGTCAGCCTCCAAAAGGCCTGCACCCCCATGGGGTAGCCTCCCACACACACACACCTATAGCCTCAGAACTTCCCTTGTCCTGCCCCCCCTCCCCCAGCCCCTGCCAAGTGATTGGAGATGGTGGGGAGGGGTATCTGGGCGATCCTGCCCAGCAAACCTCTCCCATTGGGTAGAAACTTCTGACCATGTTAGAGAGGTAAATGGGTTTTGTTTAAAATCTTTAGAAACGGCAAAGGAAATGTCTGAGGTAGGGTTTCACATCAGAAGTAACTTAAAACTATGCAATTTCTGAAGGCAAATGGGGACATTGCAGTTACATTCATGGAGAGTACCCTGAGATCTGGAGATTGGCTCTGCAAGGGCAGTGGCGGGTGCTCCGCACCTTGGGCTGGGCTTGAGCCCACCCAGGAAGGCCTTTCCCCTAGTTTTCACCAAGGCAAGGAGGTTTGTAGACATGAATAAGAAGTGCCCATGCACAAGTCCTGAAGTTGCCAGGGCCTGCAGAAATCACAAACAAACTGGGAAAAGAGCAAAACCAGAAACACCACCGATCCCAACATAGATCATCTTTTTCTTCAGATGACAGTGTGTTTTCCTCATCTTTGTCTTCTGGAAGTGAGACAGATTCAAGTACTGAGGATTCTACCAATGAAAAACTTGAGAAAGAGGATAGAAAAGGAATAAAAGGAGAAAAGAAAGAAAGGACAAAAGATGAAACATCAAGAAAAAGAAAGAGAAGGAAGAAAGGAAGAAACAGCCACTTGATATCACCTTTCCAAGGTCTTATGAAATTCCTGTTTAAGGAGTTTATTTTATGACACTTTTAGTTTGGGCTTACATTTTTACTGGTTTGTCAAGACCACGGCAGGTACACTGTCCAATATGTTAAAGAAAAAACCCTATCTAATAGAAGGAATATGTAGGGGAGGGTATTTGGGGGTGACCGGGCTGTCAGGGGAGGGCAGTTGGGGACGATCGGGGCAACAGGGGAACAGTTAGGCCTCGATCAGGCTGACAGAAAAGTGATTAGGGGGTGATCATGCTGGCAGGCAAAAGCGGTTAGGGCAATCAGGAAGGCAGGCAAGCAGTTTGGAGCCAGCAGTCCCGGATTGTGAAAGGGATATCCGACTGCCTCAGGGGTCTCAGATTGGAGAGGGTGCAGGTTGGGATGAGAGGGAACCCCCCCCCCGCACGAATTTCATGCACCAGGCCTCTAGTTACACTAATAAAAATGTCTGTAGAAGTAAAAAGAAAGGAGGAGGCCAGTGACTAAGAACATGACTTTTACTAATATTTTATTTTTAGGGCCCATACTCTGGGCCTGCAGCTTCTTGGTTTTCATGTTGTACAGGCACAAGCAGTGCGTTCAATACACTCATTAGGCTAATGTTTCCCTCAGATGCCTCCTCATACCAGAGCATCCTTTTCCTGGTGTATCTGTGTCTTTTTCACCCTCTCTTCCGTCTTTCATATTTGTTCAGCAGTTTTCAATAATCCCAGTTGGTGACTAGTGAACATCTCTAATAATCACGGCCGTTTCCCAACTGTCAGGCCCTGCTTTGCACAGATAAACAATACAAAATGCCCCTGCAATTATCACAAAAATGTAAATCCTAGATTTTCACAACATTCAGGTATTTATTCAGACATCCCTCAGGAACCTGAGTACTAGTTAAGGCCATCACTTCATAGCTCAGTGGTGAGACCAAGACACAATGAACTTTTGCCCCAATAATAAATAAATAAAAAGTTAAAAAGCCAGTGAATTGAATATCATTTATTATACAAATACATATACAATCTAAATTTTCTTAATACTTACAGTAGAGAAGTTCAAAGTCTTTGCTACATTAAAGAGTATGTCCTAGAACAATATAAAGAATATGGAGTAGTATTTGAGTGTTTAAGTTTATAAATGAACATATTAAGTGCACACATACTCTAAACAAAGCATGGGTGGGGGGGTGGTAAGCACTGCAAATACAGTTATTGCCACTGGTCAAAATACACATTATAAGCATTCAAAGAATCATGAAATGAATTTAGGTATAAACCACAGCAATACTTTTCTTTCAAAAAGTCACAAATATCTGTTGTAATAAAAAAGGATGCAGTGGAGGCAATTACATTTGTCCTAAAATTCATCCCCTTGGCATTTTGATTTATACTAAAAAGTTCTGTAGCTTTCCTTAATGGATTCTCTAAAATAAATATTCTGATTTAAAGACATATTTGAAAAATGTATTAACTTATTACTTTCTACTGTGAATTCTCTGGCATTTTACATTTAATTTTGATTAAATTCACTTTCAAGCACAAATTCTGCGGGAAACACGATTTTGGGAAAAGGTTTTTCATCATTTTTCACAAAGGTAGAATTTTTCTCCAGTATGCATTCTCTGATATGGAGGAAGACTTTAGGTCCAGATAAAGGGTTTGCATATTCTTTAACATTTTAAGTTTTTCTTCAGTATGAACACTCAAGTGTCAGTTAAGATGTAAATGCAGAAAACAGTCTTTGCTGAACTTTTTATATTTGCGTGGCTTCTCTGCACTATGAAATCTCTAAAGTACACTGAGGCTTGAGCAATGATTAAAGGTTTTACCACCTTGTTTATATTTTTATACTTTCAACAAAGTATGTGATATTGACTAAGTTTTCAACACTGGGTAAAGGCATTATCACAATCTCTACATTTGTAAGGCTTTTCTTTGGTACAAATTCTTTAATATTTAATGAGGTTTGGGCAATGGTTGGAGGTTTTCCCATATTCTTTATATTTATGTTGCTTCTATTCACTATGAATTCCTTAGTATTGAGTAAAGCTATTGTGATGTTAAAGGCTCTGTCACACTTTTTTTAAAAAATATGTTCCTATTCATGTTAGGGACAGAGGAAAAGAAGGAAGAGATACAAACATCAATGATGAGAATTATTGACTGGCTGCCTTCTGCATGCCTCCTAATGAGGATCGAGCCTGGACCTCCTGGTTCATAGGTCCATGCTCAACGACAAAGTCACACTGCCAGGCTTTGTCACACTCTTCACATTTGTAAAGCTTATCTCAGGGATACATTTTCATATATTTGGTAAGGTCTGATCAGTGTATACAGGCCTTGCTACATTCTTAATGTTCATAAGCCTTTTCTCTAGTATAACTCCTCCAACGGATAGAAAAATTTGAACATGATGTATAGGCTTTATGACATTCTCTACATTTATAAGGGTTTCTGTTCTATATGAGTTCTCTGATGTTTAGAAAGAGCTGAATACCATCTAAAAGCTTTGCCACATTCTCTACATGTATAAGGTTTCTCTCCAGAATGAATATTCTGATGTTGAGTAAGAAGTGACCCCTGGGTAAAGGCTTTGCCACATTCTCTACATTTATAGGGCTTCTCTCCAGAGTGAATTTTCTGATGTTTAGTAAGCTGTGAGCCCTGGGTAAAGGCTTTGCCACATTCTCTACATTTATAGGGCTTCTCTCCAGAATGAATCCTTTGATGTTGAGTAAGATTTGAGTTCCGCATAAAGCTTTTGCCACATTCTCTACATTTATAAGGCTTCTCTCCAGTATGAATTCTCTGATGATCGGTAAGGTTTGAACACTGACTAAAAGCTTTGCCACATTCTCGACATTTATAAGGCTTCTCTCCAGAATGAATGATCTGATGTCGACTAAGATGTGAGCTCTGGATAAAAGTTTTGCCGCATTCTTTGCATTTATAAGGCTTCTTCCCAGAATGAATGATCTGATGCCGAGTTAGATGTGAGCTCTGGATAAAATCTTTGCCACAGTCTTTACATTTATAAGGCTTCTTTCCAGAATGAATGATCTGATGCCGAGTTAGATGTGAGCTCTGCATAAAAGCTTTGCCACAGTCTTTACATTCATAAGGCTTCTCTCCAGAATGAATGATCTCATGTCGAGTAAGACGTGAGCTCTGGATAAATGCTTTGCCACATTCTCTACATTTATAAGGCTTCTCTCCTGTATGCATTTGCTGATGATGGGTAAGTGTTGAATACCGGCTATAGACTTTGCCACATTCTCTACACTGATTAGGTTTTTCTCCATTATGAATTGTATGATGTTTCATAAGGCATGAACACTTCTTAAAGGCTTTGCCACATTCTTTACATTTACAAGGCTTCCCTCCAAGATAAATTCTTTTATGTCGAGTAAAGCCTGAATAACTTTTAAAGGCTTTCCCACATTCTCTACATTTATAAGGCTTCATTTCTGTATGAATTCTCTGATGATGGGTAAAGGTTGAATACCACCTAAAGACTTTCCCACATTCTCTACATTTATAAGGCTTCACTCCAGTATGTATTGTCTGATGTTGAGTAAGATGTGAGCACTGGGTAAAGGCTTTGCCACATTCCTTACATTTATATGGCTTCTCTCCAGAATGAATTTTCTTATGTTGAGTAAGATTTGAGCTCGAGGTAAAGGCTTTGCCACATTCTCTACATTTATAAGGCTTCTCTCCAGAATGGGTTCTCTGATGTTTGGTAAGATTTGAACTCCGGTTAAAGGCTTTCCCACATTCTCTACATTCATAAGGCTTCTCTCCAGTATGAATTCTCTGATGATGGATAAGGGTTGAATACTGGCTAAATGCTTTGTCACATTCTCCACATTTATAAGGCTTCTCTCCAGAATGAACTCTCTGATGTTTTATGAGGCCTGAACACTTGTTAAAGGCTTTCCCACATTCTTTACATTTATAAGGTTTCTCTCCATGATGAATTATCTGATGTAGAATAAGGCTTGAGTAACAGTTGAAGGTTTTGTGACATTCTCTACATTTATAAGGCTTCTCTCCAGCATGATTTCTCTGATGTAAAACAATATGTGCCTGCCACTTAAAGGTTTTATCACATTCTTTGTATTTGTAAGGCTTCTCTGCAGTATGGATTTCTTTATGTATATTTAACTTAGAGGACTGACTAAACATTTTCACATAGTGATTACACAGGAAAGACTCCTCCATAATATGAGTATTTTTATGTTCAATAAGATTTGATGATTGGTTGAAAGACTTGGCACATTCACTAAATCTTTCTGTCTTCTCTACAGTATGAATACTCTGAGGTATAAAAATATTTGCGTTTTTATCAAAGACTTTCAGACATTTATCATTGTTCTGTGAAAGCTGAGTTCTCTGATGGTCATTAGAATTTGACCCTTGGTTAATGTTTTTCTGAGATTCATTGCATTGATGACTTCTCTCTTCATTATATGTACTCTGATAATGATTTAAAAGCGAAAAACTTTTAGTGAGGGCTCTAGTATCATTGCACATGTACAGTTGTTTCCAATTACCTATTCTGATACCATGATGAATATATATATATTTATATATATCCCACCTAATAATAGAGTAATATGCAATTAACTATCCCTCCTCTACACCCACAAGCCACGCCCAGCAGCCAATCAGAGAAAATATGCAAATTAACCCAACAAAGATGGCAGTTAATTTGCATACACAGAGGGAGGGAGGAGTGAAGACTGAAGACAGTATAGAAGGAAGAGGGAGGGAAAGTGGAAAGCAAGGCAGCTGCGGCTGCTGGAGGGAAAGCAATGGCAGCGTGTGGGGGGCGGGGCAGAGCGAGGTGAGGCACACAGCAGTGGTAGCAGCACATGTGGCCCTGGAGACAGTGGCAGCAGTGGCCGGGGGCCTGCCCTGCCCGCTGCAGCGGGAGAGGTGGTGGTGGCAGGAGGGAAGCCCACCAGAAGTCTTGTAGGAATATTCCTGCAACAAGTCCCGTGTGTGTGTGTGTGTGTGTGTGTGTGTGTGTGTGTGTGTGTATTAGAGGCCCGGTGCACGGGGGGCGGGGGAGGGGGGGGAGGCCTGTCCCTCAGCCCAGCCTGCACCCTTTCCAATCTGGGATCCCTGGTGGGATCAGACCTAAACAGACAGTCGAACATCCCTCTTACAATCCAGGTCTGCTGGCTCCCAACTGCTCGTCTGCCTACCTTCCTGACTGCCCCTAACTGCTTCTGCCAGTCAGCCTGATCACCCCCTAATCACTCTGCTGCCAGCCTGATTGATGCCTAAGTACTCCCTACCAGCCTGTTTGCCCCTAACTGCCCTCCCCTGTAGGCCTGGTCCCCCACAACTGCTCTCCCCTGCAGGCCTGGGTCCCACCCAACTGCCTTTCCCTGCAGGCCCCGTCACCTCCAACTTCCCTTCTCTGCCAGTCTGGTCACCCCTAACTGCCCTCCCCTGTAGGCTTGATGGCCCCCAACTGACCTCCCTTGCAGGCCTGGTCCCTCCCAACTACCCTCTCCTGCTTGTCTGATTGCCCACAACTGCCCTCCCTTGCAGACCTGGTCCCTCCCAACTCCCTCCCCTACTGGCCATCTTATAGTGGCCATCTTGTGTCCACATGGGGGTAGAATATTTGACCATATGGGGGCAGCCATATTGTGTGTTGGAGTGATGGTCAATCTGCATATTACTCTTTTATTAGATAGGATATATCCTTGCACATTTATGGAAATTAAAGACTCTGGAAAAGTAAATATTTTCACATGAAAGAATAATACAAAATTGGTTAAGGGATTTACAAATTCATTTATAATCTTTATCTTCATTTTTTAAATATTTCATTTTTAGAAATATTGATTGTTTAATCACATGCTACATTAAATCATTCAAAAAATTATTTGCACAATGGACTAGGTGACTTTTCTGATATTACAAATTTTACTTCAAAGAATATATATTCATTTTTTTATTTTAATTCTCACATGAGGACATGTTTATTGATTTTTAGAAAGAAGAAAAGGGAGGGAAAGAAAGAGAAAGAAAAATTGATGTGAGAGAGAAATATTGATTGATTGCCTCCTGCCTGCACCCGGACCAGTGATTGAACCCTAAACCTACATGTGTCCTGTCCAGAATAGAACCCACAACATTTCAGAATATTTGGTGACACTGCAACCAACTGAGCCACAGCAGCCAGAGCAGAGAATATGTACTTTTAAAAACATTTCTTTAGCCTTTAGGTTCAGAAACACGTTGTTCTGTCAGCATAACTGATGTCAAGTAGAAATATTCAAAATGTTTAAATCCTTAAGCTCTTGAGGCAACAATGATTTTATTAAGAGTAACTGCCCCACTTTGGCCATATCCATCATGACTAATAAGCTTTTTTCTCCTCATATTCCCCTGCACATTATAAAACTTTCATTCAGTATAAAGTCTCAATATCACATCAATGATATCTTACCTGTAACATTTTCTGGAATGACACTTCTACACCTGACTTTGGTAACAAATCCTGGGTAACTTGAGAAGACATAGCTAAAATATAACAAATTAATTATAAAATACACTCAGGTAAATATTCTTTAAATTTTAATGTATAGAATTAATACATATAAAAAGACTTCAGTGAGATTGAAGAATAGGAAACACAAAACTTTCTTCCTCCATGGAGATGTTAACTTACCAACAATTACTGACCCAATTACCTTTTTAAGTACTTAAGAAGCCAGTTCAAAGATCACAACAGAAAGCATAAAATAAAAATGTCATATCAAAGAGGGAAAAAGTTACCTACATTTGCCCACAGCACGTGCTCACCTTTCTGACATACTACAAAATATGTGTGGGATAACTCCCAATTCTCAGTTTCTCTCAGAAGAGAAATAAATGAGGGTACTGGGTTTACAATTGTCTGGATTTTTTGTAACTCTGAGGGACTTTTTTCACTTTTGAATAACACTGAATTCTATATAAACACAAAATACTGAGCATGCATTGTGGTGGCTACTAAATAGAAAAGTTAGTAATTGTTCCAGCACCAGACAGACTGCAATGCTGAAGGACATCAGGAATGGAAGATACCATGAGCTCTAAATAAAAGCAAAGTATGTTTTAAATGGGGAAGTTACACAAAACACACACAGAGAGAGATCTGTCAAGATGCTGGTATAGGTAATTGTAGCACTGGCAACCTCCCACAACCACATAAAAAATACAACTAAACTACAAGAAAACCATCATTCAAAACTGCCTGAAACCTCGCCGAATGAAGTTCTACACGTAAGGACAGAAAGAAAAAGGCTTATCCAGGTTGGGAGGAGGCGAATGGACTGGGCCCACGTGGTGGATTAAAATCACAAGCGATAACTTTCTATCTGTCTCTTTCCTTCTCCCTTCCTCTCTGAAATAAATAAATATATGTTTTTAAAAAACAAACAAACAAAAATCATCAGTTGCAGGGGTCACACCTGAGGAGTAAAGGGTCCCAACCCCACAAAAGACCTGCCAGCTAGAGTTCCAATGCAAAGGAGAGATGTCCCCATTATTATGGCTGTAAAAATGGGCAGGGATTGTGGCTGAGTGAGACGGAGAACTGATGGAGTCCTAGGCAGTTCCTCTTAAAGATTCATGCTCTGATTTACTCATATTCATGCCCTGTGAGCTCCAGCACTGTGGCAGCAGCTCGAATGGCACCAGGGATATATAGGTTGGAACTGAAGTGTCTGGCATAAAGACAAGAGCTATAGAAGGAGCTTTCTCCCAGGCATAAGTTTTGGTAGAAGCCATTGCACCTTTTCTGAGCCATTCACCCACATAGCTGGCAAACAAGAGCCACAGCTACGTCTTCGTCAACCTAGCTCACACTTTTCAACCCACCCTGAAGATTTCCTGAGACCCACCCCAACATCTGGGACCACCAAAGCTGTTTCCAGTGGCTTTTTCATACAAACAGCCTTAGTTGGCTTATGCTTTAGTCTTTACAACAATGTCTCAAACAAGCGGATCTGGCTCCAGTGTACCCCATACCTCTGGCTAAGTGGCCCGAGCATGAAAACTCTGTAATATCGGAGGATCCAAGATGGCTGCTCGGGTAGACACCTAACCGCAGCAGCTCACAACAATTTCAATGGAATACAACTAAAATGTAGAGTGGACATTGCCCAGACCTACAGGTGGTCGACTGACTGAAAACTCTACAATAGGAAGGTGGGAGAAAGCCAGAGGGAAAGTCAGAGGAGCTGAAAAAAGAGCCTAAGGTACGGAGACATGCTGCGCGCTCGCACGTACGCGCGCACCGAGAGGTCGCAGCCGGAGAGGAGGAGAGGGCTGGATGCTGCCTGGCGTTCCCTAGCAGGAAGGAAATGAAACCCCCAGCCTGGGCTGAACCCCCGAACTGGCAGCGCTGAGCCCCATTATGGGCCAGATTCTGGGGACCCAGGCTCCGGCAGGGGGAGACGGGGCTGGGAGGCTGAATCCCAGGGGAAAAACGAAAGGCGGGGGCCCCCGGAGTCACGCGCTTTGTGCACAGAGGACTGAATGTAGACTCTGATGCTGGATTACCCTAGCCGGAAGGAACAAAGCCTCCGGCGGCGCTGAGCCTCAGAACGGAGCGCCCCGAAATCCCGGTCTGGGCCAGTCCCTGGGGACCCAGGCCCGGGCACGGGGAGACGGGGCTGTGAGGCGAAATCCCGGGGACGGCGCGAAAGGCGGGGTCCCCCGGAGTCGCGCGCTTTGTGCGCAGAGGACTGAATGTTGACTCTGATGCTGGATTACCCTAGCCAGAAGAAACAAAGCCTCCGGCGGCGCTGAGCCTCAGACCGGACCGCCCCGAACTCCCGGTCTGGGCCAGTCCCTGGGGACCCAGGCTGGGCAGTGGGAGACGGGGCTGTGAGGTGGAGTCCTGGGAGCGTGGCGAAAGGCCGAGCCCCCGGAGTCGCACTACGCGCAGAGGACAGTCTGTTGACTCTGATCCTGGACTCCCCTAGCGGGAGAGAGAAAGAAAGCTCCAGACTGGAGGAATGCAACAGGGAGCAGGAGCCCCTGCTGGACACCAGCCAGCCGGGTGCCAGCAAGGAGCCGGGCGACGGGGCCCCCAGGTGGGGGGGGGGTGCCCCTGAGCCCTCGACCGCTGAGCGCAGGCAACAGAGCCAAGGACCGGGGATGCTTCCTGGGCGGCGCCAACCCCGGCGACAGGCTGAAGCAGCGCAGGAGCCCGCGGAGAACAAAGGGGTGCCACAGGCCAACCTGCTGAGATTCCAGGACGGGGAGGAAGAAACCATAGAAGTTCTCAATGTGAAGAAATCAAGTGAGAGCAAATGATAGTAAAATTACTTAAGAAAGAATGCAAAGAATATCTTGAAAAATCAAAGACTAAGTCAGAACTCAACTCACCAGCCAACATTGCAACATAAATGCGTTTTAAAAAAAGAAAGAAAGAAAGAAAGAAAGAAAGAAAGAAAGAAAGAAAGAAAGAAAGAAAGAAAGAAAGAAAGAGGGACAGAATGTTGGAACAGCGGTGACGGACGGAAGGAAGGAAGGAAGGAAGGAAGGAAGGAAGGAAGGAAAGAAAGAAAGAAAAAGGGACAGAATGTTGGAACAGCGGTGACGGACGGACGGAAGGAAGGAAGGAAGGAAGGAAGGAAGGAAGGAAGGAAAGAAAGAAAGAAAGAAAGAAAGAAAGAAAGAAAGAAAGAAAGAAAGAAAGAAAAAGGGACAGAATGTTGGAACAGCGGTGACCAGACCTAGAGAAGGAAGGAAGGAAGGAAGGAAGGAAGGAAGGAAGGAAGGAAGGAAGGAAGGAAGGAAGGAAGGAAAGAAAGAAAGAAAGAAAAAGGGACAGAATGTTGGAACAGTGGCGGCCAGGCCTAGAGTGGCCAGGCACAAGGCAGTGGCAGCCGGACCCGGAGCAGCAGCGGCCAGAACCAGAGCAGCAGCGGCCAGAACCAGAGCATCAACGGCCAGCACTGGAGCAGCCAGACCTGGGGCAGTGGCAGCCAGGCCTGAGGTGGAGGCGGCCAAGCCCAGGGTGGCCAGTCCAGGAACACCCAGACCCGGAGTGGCCGGGCCTGGAGAAGCCGGGCCCAAAGCAGCCGGGTTGGGAGCAGCCAGGCCCAGAACAGCAGAAGCCAAGCCCAAAGCATCCAGCCTAGGTGCGGCCAGGCTCGGAGCAGCCGGGCCTGGGGCAACTGGGCCCAGAGCAGCCGGGTCTGGTGCGGCCAGGCCCGGAGCAGCGACGGCCAGGCTGGGAGCGGCCAGGCCCGGAGCAGCCGAGTCTGGTGCGGCCAGGCCCGGAGCAGTGGCTGCCAGGCTGGGAGCAGCCAGGCTAGGAGCAGCGGCTGCCAGGCTGGGAGCAGCCAGGCCCGGAGCAACTGGGCCTGGTGCGGCCAGGCCTGGAGCAGCGTTTGACAGGCTGGAAGCAGCCAGGCCCGGAACGGCCGGGCCCGGAGCAACCGGGCCCAGAACAGCCGGGTCGGGTGTGGCCAGGCCTGTAGCAGTAACAGCCAAGTCCAGAGCAACTAGGTCGGGAGTGGCAGTGACCAGACCCGGAGCAGCGACTGCCAGGCTGGGAGCGGCCAGGCCTGGAGCAGCCGGATCTTGTGCGGCCAGGCCCGGAGCAGTGGCTGCCAGGCTGGGAGTGGCCAGGCTCGGAGCAGCGGCTGCCAGGCTGGGAGCGGCCAGACCCGGAGCAGCAGCTGACAGGCTGGGAGCAGCCAGGCCCGGAGCGGCAGGGCCCAGAGCAACCGGGCCCAGAGCAGCTGGGTCGGGTGTGGCCAGGCCTGTAGCAACAACAGTCAAGTCCAGAGCAACTAGGTCAGGAGCGGTAGTGACCAGACCCGGAGCACCGACTGCCAGGCTGGGAGCGGCCAGGCCCGGAACAGCCGGGTCTGGTGTGGCCAGGCCCGGAGCAGAGGCTGCCAGGCTGGGAGCGGCCAGGCCCAGAGCAGCCGGGTCTGGTGCGGCCAGGCCAGGAGCAGCGGCTGACAGGCTGGGAGCGGCCAGGCCCGGAGCAGCCGGGTCTGGTGCGGCCAGGCCAGGAGCAGTGGCTGCCAGGCTGGGAGCGGCCAGGCCCGGAGCAGCCGGGTCTGGTGCGGCCAGGCCCGGAGCAGTGGCTGCCAGGCTGGGAGTGGCCAGGCTCGGAGCAGCGGCTGCCAGGCTGGGAGCGGCCAGGCCCGGAGCAGCCGGGTCTGGTGCGGCCAGGCCCGGAGCAGCGGCTGACAGGCTGGGAGCAGCCAGGCCCGGAGCGGCCGGGCCCGGAGCAACCGGGCCCAGAGCAGCTGGGTCAGGTGTGGCCAGGCCTATAGCAACAACAGTCAGGTCCAGAGCAACTAGGTCAGGAGCGGCAGTGAACAGACCCGGAGCAGCGACTGCCAGGCTGGGAGCGGCCAGGCCCGGAACAGCCGGGTCTGGTGTGGCCAGGCCCGGAGCAGAGGCTGCCAGGCTGGGAGCGGCCAGGCCCGGAGCAGCCGGGTCTGGTGCGGCCAGGCCAGGAGCAGCGGCTGACAGGCTGGGAGCAGCCAGGCCCGGAGCGGCCAGGCCCGGAGCAACCGGGCCCGGAGCAACCGGGCCCAGAGCAGCCGGGTCGGGAGTGGCCAGGCCAGTAGCAGCAACAGCCAAGTCCAGAGCAACTAGGTCGGGAGTGGCAGTGACCAGACCCGGAGCAGTGACTGCCAGGCTGGGAGCGGCCAGGCTTGGAGCAGCGGCTGCCAGGCTGGGAGCGGCCAGGCCCGGAGCAGCCGGGTCCGGTGCGGCCAGGCCTGGAGCAGCGGCTGCCAGGCTGGGTGCGGCCAGGCTTGGAGCAGCGGCTGCCAGGCTGGGAGCGGCCAGGCCCGGAGCAGCTGGGTCCGGTGCGGCCAGGCCCGGAGCAGCAGCTGCCAGGCTGGGTGCGGCCAGGCCCGAAGCAGCAGCTGCCAGGCTGGGAGCGGCCAGGCCCGAATCAGCCGGGTCTGGTGCGGCCAGGCCCGGAGAAGCGGCTGTCAAGCTGGGAGCAGCCAGGCCCGGAGCGGCCGGGCCCGGAGCAATTGGGCCCAGAGCAGCCGAGTCGGGTGTGGCCAGGCCTGTAGCAGCAACAGCCAAGTCCAGAGCAACTGGGTCAGGAGCGGCAGTGACCAGACACGGAGCAGCTGGTTATGGAACAAACCAGAGCAACAGAGGCCAGGCCCGGAGCAGCCTGGCCCAAAACAGCTCGCTCCTCACCTGCCCCTGCCCCACAGCTGCCTCTCAGACATGGCTGGAAACTTTTGCGGGAACTTGAGGGTCTGCTGAATCAAGTGATGAAGGCTTATATCTGGATGTGTTGAGTTAGTATAGTCCTGGGGTGTTGATCTGTGAGTACCTTGGGTGGGGCCTGGATGAGGCTGGTTGTCCTATTAGGAAATGTCTTTTGTGTGAAGTGTATCATTGGGCATGTGGAGGTATTATTGATATGAGAAAATGCTAAGTAACAGATTTGCTATCTGAAAAGGGATTTACTATCGGGGAAAGGGAGGGAGGAAGAGACTGAACATAAACTGTGCACCAATGGATGAGGATGAGGGGGCAGAGGGTGGGGTGGGAACCTGGTGGAGTGGGGAAGAAACGAGGAACCTGTGTAATAATATGAACAATAAAGATTGATTTAAAAAAAAAAAAAAAAAAAAAAAAAAAAGAAAACTCTGTAATATCTAATTATTGGAGTGTACATCTGAAATGAATATAATATATTGGCAACTACAATTGAAATATAAAAAAATGAGTTAAACACACACACACACACACACACACACACACACACACACACAGATTACACTTTCCAGAATAGGTTTGATAGGCCATAAACAATCTACTACAGCTGATAGTTATTTGTTTTCTCCTGTACAAGTGAGTTCATAAAAAATGGGATGGCAGCTGTTTCTAATGACCTTGAATAACAAAAGATCACAAGGTTTAGGAAGAAACAAAAAACAACAACAATCCAACCAGAGGAACAACATAAATCTCCATAAATTGGCCCTAAGTTAATGAACATCTGTTAATTACCTGACAAAGCTATGGGGAAAAAAACACATTTTAAAGAGGCTCAACTGGAAAATATAGCGAAAAATTTTTTCAAAAAAATACTACCATCAAAACTATGCATGACAATAATCAAATGCAAACAGACGAAAAATATAAAAAAGAACCAAACAGATATTGGGAGCTGAAGAATATAGTATGAAGCTAGTACCTGAATTGAAATGTGTAATGGAAATATCAGGGGGAAAAATTCATCAAGCAAAAGGAAGGATAAGACAACTTGGACACTGACTCCCAGTGTTCTTGGGATGTGGGAACTAAATTCCAGCATCTCAACCACCTCCCTCCCAAATTACTTACATGAGGCAGAAAAGACAACTTTAAAATTAGTTTAACATAACATTCCTCGCCAATGAGCACAGACTTTCCCGGGTTCCACAAGAAATGCTCAAGAGAAGCCAGGTCATGCTACCCTCACACTATTAGGGCAGGTCTTTGGCTCTCACTGCAAATGCGAAGGAAGGTCATAGGAGCACCAGGAGAACCCTTACATGATGCCAGAGTGTAAGTGTTGAAGAGGCTCTGTCCCTTGAAGTTAGAAACAGAAATAAACCTGACCCTCTCCAAAATCACTTCTATTGTAGATCTTTCCAACCCATATTATAATGCCTGACTTCCTCCAAAAGCTTGGCCTCTCACTTGGGTCATCTGCTTCCTTGATTCCCACCAACCTGGCTGGCTGGATATTATCTTTTTCCTCTTCAACTCCCAGGGCTCCTTCATGTGCTCCAAAAAGGTGACCAGGTCTGGCTTAGACACACCTGTTTAGTAGAAAAGGAAACATGCATACAATGGAAATTCTCCAATTTACAACCCAGTACTGTGTTCAAATGAGAAAATAGGACATTGTAGAATATCAGAATATTCTAGAAAATTATTTCCCAAAATAGTATTTTCTGACAGCCTTTACTATACTAGAGACAACATTTAAAGTTTTCAGATCCTGATTTCCACTTCCAAATACACGAGGAAACCTTTCTGCTCTGCATCAACAAAACTTCAATTTCTTTCTTTCATTGGGAACACAGATCTGAAACTCTCATACAAAGCAGAAGCTCACCACTGACTCTGTACTAATGAGGAAAAGAAAACCCTGTGGGTGGAGGAGAAATTCTGGAAGGAAGTGGTCCTCACCCAGGAATACCAGGTTCCTGTAGTTCTGCAGCATCACATCCATGTACAGTTTCCGCTGAGCTGGGTCCAGGCACGCCCACTCCTCCTGAGAGAATTCTATGGCCACATCACTGAAGGTCAGCTGTCCCTGAAATTAAAAGGGGGGGAGAGGGAGGGAAGCATTACTCTATTGACCATGGGCAGAGGTCATAAGATCACCCAAAATGAAAACAGAGTTAATGGAACTGGTTTGTTGTGTGTGTGTGTGTGTGTGTGTGTGTGTGTGTGTGTGTTTTAATAGAGCTGGTTTTGATCTAGGAAAGTATCCTGAGTTATCCAATGGCATCTCTTTGACACTAATATTCACTAATGTAGTTTGAGAAAGGATGGTATATGATCCACAAAACCACAGTAAGTTTTACTTTTCTGGAAGAAGAATTTTAAAAATAGACACCGACAGACATATTCATTTTTAATGCTTTGTTTGAATCACAGAGGATCAAGTGTATATAGTTCTTAGCTGGAGAAGTCATTCTGAGTGAGCACAGTGTAGCACTTTAATAAATTTAATGAGCTCTGGCTGGGGCCTGAGCTTCCGTGAGTTTAACTAGCTCACTTATAACATGGATGGCACTGTGCTGGTACATGTGCCAAACATTTAGACAGCACAGAAGAAAACACAGGAAAAAAATTCATATACAAGACTTTGACTGAACAGTTTTAGGGAATTTACATGTCTCACAGATTAGTAAGCCTAGCAACCACAATTTTTTTAACAGTTTTTTATATATTAACTAAAATAAATCACAAAAGCAATCAAAGAATAACATTATTATTCTCTTTTTATAAATGTATTTGTTGACTTTAGAAAGAAAGGGGGAAGGAGACAGACAAAAATGTCACTGAGAGAAAAATATCAATAAACTAACTCCTGCACATCCCCTCCAAGGATTGAGCCCTCAACCCGACATGTGCCATAACTGGGAATTGAATCAGTGACCTCTCAGTGCATGGATCAACGTTCAAACAACTGAACCAGGGCTATTCATCCTTTTTTTATGAGAATATTTTGTAAAACATCCAAAAAATGGTAGAGCCTGGGTATTATTCCAAACTTTATCTGAAATCTGTGATCTTTTATGCATCTCTCTCAAAATTTTTTTGAAACCTTTATTAAAGATTTTTAAAAATTAACTCCATGGTTCAGGAATTAGGCAGAGAACACTCACACCAAGTGGAAATCAGGTGCAAAGGAAGTGACATCAGGTGACTGAAGGACACATCATCATTAACACCAGTTTTATACAAAATTCATTTCACATATACCTCCACATTCTGTAAATCTATCAGTATATTTTAAGAATAGGGCTTGCCAATGTAGAGAGCAAGTCTCTTCTAACAAGTGTTCTTTTTCAGCACATTTTGATCTAATCCCAGCCACTAAGGCCATCCTGGTTAAAGGTGCTTTGTCTCAATCCTGTTCTGCAGAACAGATGTTGCAAACATATGAAATGTAAAACCTACATTTCCCTTCTGCAAACACCGTCTCAATAGAACACTTGGATATCAATGTTTTCCCCGTGTTGATCTGTCTCAAAGAAAATGTTCTGAAAAGTTGACGGTGGGGTTTCAGAACAAGGCACATTGAAGATGTGCTTCAATGGTACATGCATTATGTTGAGCTGAAGGCACCAAGACCCTGTGGGCTCAGGGGACACTTCTGCTCTCCCCCTGAACTACCTAGAAGAATTTAAATGACAAGCTGGCCAATGACATGTGTTAAACCAAAAATGACATTTGAACTATCTAGGTCAAGCATGCCAAATTTGTAACCCACAGGACATATGCAGCCCACAACAAATACTCATTAACAATTACTCTTTTATTTCAGTCCTTTGTATTGCCTCTATCGAAACAAACCTATATTTCTATAAATATTGAAGCTTTTGGTTTTTTTCAGCTCACATAAACTTAAACCTTATTTATTTGGCCCATGTTAAAAGTTGAGTTTGACATGCTTGGTCTAAGTGGTAGGGAAACTAGTATTTCCTGTACATATGATCTCTTGGCAATAATATGCTGAAGTCCCAATGTGCAGTAGCTCATCCCAGGCTCAGAATGTCTTATATACCAACTAGAGGCCCCATGCACAAAATTCATGCAAGGGGCTCAGCCCCTGCCCAGCATAGCCACCTGGTCTAATTAGCATATTATGATTTTATATTATAGAAGATTTTCCCTTTCAGTCTCTGAACCTCTCTTGCATGTGGGGTCTCTGACTCTGTCATATATGTGGAGCTCCCATACATATCACCTCTATCGGATTAGGCCAGCTGAGAGAACCTTGAAGGTAGAAGAAAGTATCTTCCTCCCACACAATGGCCATTACTTTATGGAGTTCTTCATGTCCCTTAGGAGACCTGGATGGATGCAATGGACAGACACCTGTGGACAACAACACAGAAGGAGCTGACTTTATCTCCCTCCTAAAGGTCTGTTTCCTTGCTGATGTTGAAACTGCTGTCGCACTTGAGCAGTTGATGAAGGCTTAACTGCTACATGAACTTCCTGGGATGGCTCTAGTAAACTACACTGCCATCTTTCCCCTACAGCACAGGCGCTAACAACCAGGCAACCCAGTTGGTAAAGGAAGTAACTGCATCCTGAAATTGAAATCTCCACCAGCAAGCCTTTTTCAAACCACCCTCCTACTGGTTCCCAAGCTTGTCAGAGCCGCCAAGCAGAGCCAGCCCCTGAGTCAGCTCAGAGGACCTTCCTTTCTTCTGTGTTGTCTCCCTCATGATTGAGCATAAGCCTAAGAAATTTCTCCAAGAAATTTCTCTGAAGGTTCCTCTTGATTTCTATCTTGGGGAACCCAAAACACCCCTATGACGGTAACATTTTAAAGAGGGAACTTGGACAATCACAGTGGGGGAAAGTAAGCAGGTGAAAACAACGAGTTGTAGGATCATCAGAAATAGAGAAGCAAAGGTCTGCACCACCTACATCCATGAACTTTAGAAGGAAAAGCAGACACAGAACTGAGCCAAGACAGAGTGGTTACCTGAGAAGCAGCCATACTGTCCTCTTCTTCCTCCTGCTCTGGATTGTTTCCTCAGGCGACTTTATGTGGACCAATCACACCTGCATCGCGAGACTGTGCCTTGTGGCCACCACACTCACAGGCAGAAAGACCTTGATGAAATGAAAACTGTCACACTCCCCTGCCCTTTGACACAAGAGACATAAAGAAAAAGTGAGATCTTACATGAAGACCGAAGTGTAAGTTTTTCTCTCTTGTATTCCTGTGCTCTCCCGTCCCACAGACATGCACACTTTCCAACCCAGCAATGAGAGTGTGGGCTGTACTTCTGTTCCTCCCAAACCCAAAAGAAAACCCTGATACCGCCCCTGGACCAAAGCCGGCTCTCAACTCTCACAAATGCACTGGGGCAGGGAGACCTCCTGCTGAACACCAGCCTCACTTTTGAATCACCTGGAGCACCACATGAAACCAACAACCCAAGCTGGTTGTTCAACTCTGTGGGGGAGCGCACAGAAATGTTAGTTCTTACAATTCATCAAATGGTCTAATGCAGTGGTCACCAACCTTTCAGACCTCACAGATCACCAGTGGTCCAAGAACCACTGATTGGTGACCACTGGTCTAATGGAAGGGCATCATCTAGCATTTCATCTACAGCTTTAACGTGCATACAGAACTGTTGAGGATCAAAGTCCCACTCTAAAAAGTTACGATTCTGTAGGTGGGCAGTGAGGCCCATGAGATAGCATCTTTGCTTAGTGCCCTGGTGCAGGTGACCTGCTTTAGGTAGCAGTGGGCTAGAGATACTAGACCCAACACACCTGAGCCCGATGAGTAGTGTGAGAGGTTGAGGTAGGGACTTCTAGATGGCAGGTTCCCAGGGTGGATCCCTAGAGATGGGGTTGTCCTGAAATGGGTTTGGCCAGGCCTGTAGCTACTGTGCAGATGCAACAGGGGAGAAGAGAAAACTTGGTGGCAACAGGGTTCTTGTGAAAATCCTGTCCTCAGAATCCTTCCAAAATGCCACTCAGTCCCCAGTTCTTTGTCCACACCCCTCCCATGGAACACGTCATATAACAGGATAACATGCCTCATCCCCTGTTTATACATGAGTGCAGCTTCAATCCCTAAGGGACAAGGGGCAGAAAAGTGGTTCTATCACAGCTTTATTTTTGCAAATGAAGTGAAGGAGCATACTCTAGAAGCCTGTCAAGACATGAGCTTGTTTATATCACATTCATGTTCACTTCCTCTAACTGAACCCTAAACACATTTTAATCATTGTTCTTACTAATGTTTTATTATAGTAAGAACACCTAACATAAGATCTTTCAATAAAAATTTTTTGAAAATATATTTTTATTGATTTTAGAGTGGAGAGAGAGAGAGACATTAATGAGAGAGAATCATTTTTGATCGGCTGCTTCCTGCATGTCCCCTACCAGGGACTGAGCCCACAACCTGGGCATGTGCCCTTCAGTCCGCAGACTGACACTCCATCAACTGAGCCAAACCATCAAGATACGAGATTCCTTACACCACATTCATGTTCACTTTCTCTAACTGATCCCCAAACACATTTTAATCATTGTTCTAATTCATATTTTATTATAGTAAGAACCCTTAACATGAGATCAGTCAATAAAATTTTTGAAAATATACTTTTATTGATTTCAGAGTGAAGAGACAAACATTAATGATGAGAGAGAATCATTAATCACTGCCTCCTACTTGGGATTGAGCCCACAACCTAAGCATGTGCTCTGATCATGAATCAAACAGCAACATCCTGGTTCATAGGTTGATGTTCAACCACTGAGAAACACTAACTAGAATCAATAAAATTTTAAGCGCACAAGACAATAGTGTTAACAGCAGGCAAAATGTTACAGCATGGATCTCTAAAACTTATTTATCTTTGATAAATCAAAATCTGTATCCCTGAGTAGCAACTCCCATTTTCACTCTCCTTTGCCTCTAATCTTTGATCCTGGGAGTCTGACTGTATTGTGAGAATTCTAAAGCTGGATTTATATACGGTTATATATTAAAAGTACTTACTATGACACATAAGTTTAAAATCTATAAACTTAATAGTCACATTATGAAATCTGAGGAAGAAACTATGGTTAAATTAATACAGATGACTCCCAAATTAGATAGAGTTTAACAAACAATTATTATGAAAGAAATAGAAAACAAATTCCTGAAACATAGCAGATTCACTACAATAAAACCTTAGAGCAGTGGTTCTCAAACCGTTCTAATGCCGATACCCTATAATACAGTTCCTCGTGTTGTGGTGAGGTTAACCATAAAATTACTTTCGTTACTGTTTCATAACTGTAATTTTGCTATTGTTAATGAATCGTGATGTTTTCCCCTCTCCCAGAACTGGGTTCCCTTCTTCCTCCACTTCTGTTTCTCAGTCCGTTTAGGTCCCTCTCTTTCCTTTGTTTCTCTCCCCTGTCCTTTCCTGAGTTCCCGCTCGCTCCTGTCTCCCCTTCATTCTATTCCTTCCCTATACCTGTTCCGTGAAATTACTGGAACCGTCACCTGCAGCAGCCCTTTCTCCCGAATCTTTCTGCTTGTTCCCCACCTCAATACATGTCGCCTGTCTTCTCCATCCCTGGGTCCCTTCTGCTTCCAGTTCCCTTGTCTTTCAGGCCACACCTCCCCTGCCAGACTCAGGGGCACCCGGCCTGGCTAAGCTCGGTGCTGGTTCTTGCTGGGCTCTGTCACCCCTTCCTCCCTGCACTGGCCTCATCCAACCTTTCCTCCTGACTCTCAATCTCAATGCCTTGCCCTCCGGGGCCCACCTCTGCTGACCAAGGATTCCTCACCCTTTGGCTCCCCTTCATGTCTCTAGAGCTCCTCCCTTCCCTCCACGGGCCTCTAGTTTTTCTCCATTTACTACTTTCCCGAGTCCCTCTTTCATACTTGCAGTCGATTTGCAAGGACCTTCCACAACCTCAATTTTGCTGTTTCCTTGTGGGGCCCCTCACTGATTCTGCCAATTAGTTATTAAATGGGGAGTGTGTGTGTGTGTGTGGGGGGGGGGGGGGGGGGGGGGGGCCGCATCTGGAAGGGAAGCAGAGGTGTTGGAATACTCCCAGGCCAGGGAGGAATCCGGGCTCCACAGGCCGAGCACTGCGAGGCTGTGGAGGGAGCAGAGGGTTTGACTCCATCTCCCCAGACTTTAATGGCCCAGGGTGGGGTGGCCAGTGAAAGGTTTTAGGAGGAAAACTACGCGTGGGCGGTGAGCAGTGGCCCCAGGAAGGGGAGATCACAGGCAGGGCGGACTCCGTTAGAGCGACAGGTAACGCGGGGTCTCAAACCCGCAGCGAAGCCCGCCGGGCAGGTCTCACTGGGACGCGAGGCTTACCGCTGATGGGAGGCGGGTTTGGGGTTTCAAGGTCTCCTCGGCTTCACACGCGCAGGACTGTGGGCTGAGATGCGGAGGTTTACGGAGAAAGACCAAAGGTCTCAGACGCCGTGTTCCCTCCCCTCTGCACTAGCCGCTTCCGGGTCCGGGAGTAACTGCGCGTGCGCGATCGGCAAAGGGGCGGGGCTTGGCGGGCGCTGGGCGGGGCTCGGGGCGGCCCGGGCTCCGGGGACAATGGGAGGATGGGGCGGGGCCGAAGCGCGGGGCGTGAACCAGGGTGTTTGATCTGGAGGCTGCACGTGGGTTTGGGCTGAGCTCCAGGAACTGGGGAGTTGTTTGAAATGCGCTGCGGCCTAAGGATGGGTGTTGCGGGCAGACGGATAAAGTGGTCGGGCTGCGGCCCACAAGAGGGTTGCCGGTTGGACGGTGGAGCCCAGCCCCCAGAATGATGCCCAGGGTCACCGTCGCCAGGGATGATAGCTGGGTCCTGACTCCTGTCCTCTTGCCTCAGAGTTTGTTATTTTCTCAATTCTGAACCTGTGCAATTTCTTTTGTTCCCTGAAAAGCAGGACTACTCCCTGCCAATTTAAGTTGATATTTTAAACTGTTTAATATAAAATTTAGAGTTCAGTGGACCGCTTACGTTGAAAGATATAATGTCTTTGTTTTAACAGGCTGAGAACAGATTTGCTCAAAACTTCCATTGGGAAGTGGTAGACACGCCTGTGGGTATTGGCAGAGATGCCACCTGAGTTGTGGAGCGATGGTTGGATGGAGGAACCAACCAAATAAGTAATTTAATGAAGCAAGGGGTGCAGTTGTCTGTGCAGGAGATACAAACTTGAAGGTAAAATTCAAGATTGTACCTGTGTGAAATTTAAAATTCTATATTTGGGAAACAGGCCATGGCAGACCAACATCTATCAGAACACCATTTCCATTCCCGTTTCCTACTCACCCTGTGCTGACCCGTGTCGGTTGCAGAGGATTGTATAAGGAAAAGACTTGGAGGGATGAAGCAGGTCATAATCTAGCTCACCGTCCGTGCTTTTTAAAAAAATATGCAGCGATAACTTTTATAAAATAGATATAAATTGTATTGTTGTTTATATGTTACTGATGAGGGGAATGATAAATTCAAACACCTTTGTTGACATAAATGTTTGTGACATTGTAATTAATTTGTTATTGACTTCTCTATACAATTCAATTCCAAATTTACTTAATGTTTATACAGGAAAGAATTTTTTTTACCTATAAATTTATTGTTTTCGAAGAAACCAAGATGGCGGCATAGGGTAGACACCCGAATGCAGCCTACCACAACAAATTTGAATTTATTTTTTTAAAAATAAATCTTTATTGTTCAGATTATTACAAATGTGATCCTCTTCCCCCCCTCAATTGCTCCCCTTCACCAGGTTCCCACCCCACCCTCTGTCTTTTCCCCATCCCCCATTGTCCTCATCCATAGGTGTACAGTTTTTGTTCAGTCTCTTCCCGCACCCCCACTCCCCTTTTCCCTGAGAATCGTCAGTCCACTCCCCTTCCATACCTCTGATTCTATTATATTCACCAGTTAATATTGTTCATCAGATTTTTAAATTCCCTTGGTTTTTAGATTCAATTGTTGATAGCTACGTATTTGTTGATCATAATTTTTATCTTTATCTTCTTCCTCTTCCTAAATAACCTCCTTCAGCAATTCATATAATTCTGGTTTGGTGGTGATGAACTCTTTTAGCTTTTTTTTATTTGTGAAGCTCTTTATCTGTCCTTTGATTCTGAGTGATAGCTTTGCTGGGTAGATTATTTTTGGCTGTAGGTTCTTGTTATTCATCACCTTGAATATTTCTTGCCATTCCCATCTAGCCTACATGGTTTCTGTTGAGAAATCAGCTGACAATCTTATGGGTGCTCCTTTATAGGTCACTACCTGCTTTTCTCTTGCTGCTTTTAATATTCTCTCTTTGTCTTTTGCTCTTGGAATTTTAATTATGATATGTCTTGGTGTGGTCCTCCTTGGATTCCTTTTGTTTGGGGTTCTGCGGGCTTCCTGGACTTGTAAGTCTATTTCTTTCCCCAGGTGGGGGAAGTTTTCTGTCACTATTTCTTCTAGTACTCTTTCGGTATCTTGCTCTCTCTCTTCTGGAATCCCCATAATTCTGATGTTGGTTTGCTTGAAATTGTCCCAGAGGTTTCTTACACTATCTTCAACTTTCTGGATTCTCTTATCTTCTCCCTTCTGCAGAGGAGTGTCCTCTGGCTCTTTGTGTTCTAAATCTTTGTCTTGATTCTTGCGATCTTCCAGTCTGTTTTTAGGACTTTGTATAATATTTTTTATTTCAGACAATGTTTTCTTCATTTCTTGTTGATCCCTTATTATTTCTAGTTGCTCCCTTTTCATATCCTCATAGGTCTCATTTATTTTATCGGCCTTTTTTAGGATATTGTTGAATAACCTTATAACTGTAGTTTTGAACTCAGTGTCCAATCTTTTCAATCTCCTTCCTTTGTGTCCTTCTTCTTGTCTGCATTTTAGTTGTTTCCCTGATTTGATGGAATAGCTTTGTGTGCTAGGTGTTCTGGTAGAGCCCAGTAGCACAGCCTTCCCAGTTACCTGCAGTGGACAGTCTTGGTGTAGCCCTTTGTGGGCTGTGTGTGCAGTCTTGTTGTTAAGCCTTGCTTATTGTTGGTATCACTGGGAAGCGTTGATCTCCAAGCCAATTGGCTGTGAGGATAAACAGTGTCTCAGCTAGGAGGGTTTCTGTACTCTGCTTGAATAGGGCGGGGTCTCGGGGTGGCGCAGACAATCTTTGGTTCCCTGTCAGTCTCACCTTAGAAAAATCCCGTTCGTGGAGAGTTTTGGAAGATTGGTTGAAGGCGCACCTCTTTGGTAAAGGCGCAGACAAGCTTTGGATTCCTGCAAGTCCCTCCTTAGAGAAAGCCAGCCTCTGGGAGAGCTTCTGTGCTCAGCCACAGGTAGGACGGAGTCTTGGGTTGGTGCAGAAAAACTTTGTTTTCCCTTCGGCTCATCCCCAAGTCCCTCAGTAATGGCCTCTGGCTTCACACACCTCCAAGAGATCTCTGCCCACTGCCTGACAGTCTGGCCTCTCCCTGTCTGGGACCGTTTATCAGATTCTATTTTCCTCTCGGACAAGAAAGCCAGCCGCGTTAGCTGTTCGCCCTCTCTGCGCCAGGAGTAAGCCAGTAGCGAACTCAGCCCGGCCCGCCCTCTCTGTGTGCAGGGAGTAAGCCAGCAGCGATCTCGGTCCGGCCCTTCCTCTCCGCGCCGGGATTAAGCCAGCGCCTTTTCTCGCACACAGTTTTCCGTACCTTCACAGTTCCTGAGGTTCAGCATGCCTTCTCTCTCCTTCCCAGATGGCAGAGCCTCCTCTCAGCCAGCTGTCTGGCGCTTCAGGGCAATGCCTCCCCTGTTTTTCAGTTCTAAATTCAAATTTGTTGTGGTAGGCTGCATTCGGGTGTCTACCCTATGCCGCCATCTTGGTTTCTCCCTTAAGATTTCTTTTACATGTTTATTTACTGAGATTTGATAAAGTTTGACTCCTGGTAAAACACATTGTCCAGTGCATTATATTTTAAGACACCTTCCCCAAGTAGGAGATTCTCATGCTTCCTGAAGATTCGTCCTTCCAAAAGACAGACCAAATTCATTCTATTTGTAAATTTTTTTCTCTAATACATATAACTGTGATCTTTGTTTACTAATGAAGAATGGGTTAAAACTTTCCCTATCTCTATTGCAAATGTCGGTTGTGATATTAGGAAGAATTCTTCCATGTTGGGAAACTAAGGAACCATTTTGAAAGATTTCTTGACTTGATTACACTTATACTATTCATCCTCAATATTGATCTCTACAGTTAATCCTGAGGTAACTGAAAGTTGTTGTTTTTTTCCCCTCTTTATTGATTAAGGTATTACATATGTGTCCTAATCCCCCTTGCCCCCCCTCGCCCCACCCACTCAACCCCCTAGTGTCTGAGTCCATTGATTAGGCTTATATGCATGCATAAGTCCTTTGGTTGATCTCTCCCCCTTATCCCTGCCCTCTCCTACCTTCCCTCTGAGGTATAATGGTCTGATCGATGCTTCTCTGTCTCTGGATCTGTTTTTGTTCATCAGATTATATTGTTCATTTTATTTCACAAATGAATGACATCACGTGATATTTATCTTTCTCTGACTGGCTTATTTCGCTTAGCATTATGCTCTCCAGTTCTATCCATGCTGTTGCAAATGGTAAGAATTCCTTCTTTTTTATTGCAGCATAGTATTTATTCCATTGTGTAGATGTACCACCATTTTTTAATCCACTCATCTGCTGATAGGCACTTAGGCTGTTTCCAAATCCTAGCTATTGTAAATTGTGCTGCTATGAACATAAGAGTGCATATATCCTTTCTGACTGGTGTTTCTGGTTTCTTGGGATATAGTTCTAGGAGTGGGATTACTGGGTCAAATGGGAGTTCCATTTTTAGTTTTTTGAGGAAGCTCCATACTATTCTCCACAGTGGCTGCACCAGTCTGCATTCCCCCCAGTAGTGCACGAGGGTTCCTTTTTCTCCACATTCTTGCCAATATTTGTCGTTTGTTGATTTGTTGACGATAGCCATTCTGACAAGTGTGTACCTCGTTGTCATTTTGATTTGCATCTCTGGGATGATTAGTGACTTTGAGCATGTTTTCATATGTCTCTTGGCCTTCCTTATGTCCTCTTTTAAAAAGTTTCTATTTAGGTCCATTGCCCATTTTTTTATTGGTTTGTTTATCTTTCTTTTATTAAGTTGCATGAGTTCCCTGTAAATGTTGGAGATTAAACCCTAATTGGTGATAACATTTGCAAATATGTTCTCCCATGCAGTGAGCTTTCTTGTTGATTAACTGAAAGCTTTAGCCCCATCGTTTTATCAAACAATTCCATGCATTGGCTTCCTGGATATACATGTATTTTTAATATAATGTTTGACTTAGATTTGACGATCTTAACAAGGTAGAATACATAGATTTACTTTATGTGGTAATATTGCCAACCAGTTATGTTGCCACAAAAGAGCTTTCAACATAGGGTTCCCATCTTCACATGCAATTGGCTATGAACTTTATCAAGCTCA